AGTAGTAGTAGTGTGTGTGTGTGTGTGTGTGTGTGTGTGTGTGTGTGTGTGTGTGTGTGTGTGTGTGTGTGTGTGTGTGTGTGTGTGTGTGTGTGTGTGTGTGTGTGTGTGTGTGTGTGTGTGTGTGTGTGTGTGTGTGTGTGTGTGTGTGTGTGTGTGTGGGCGCACACGCCGCACGTTCGACACGCCATGCGTATGCACCTTGCGCTTGGGGCCTCTCTCCCGCGCATCGTCAGACGGAATGCCGGAAGTTTCGATACTTCTATCCAGCAGCGTAAAAGCCACGACTACACCGAGCAATCCGCCATGCAATAAAATTGGCGACAAGCCGTGAATTCGTGACACGACGCTCATAAAGGGATTTATGCGCACGTTCGAGAGAAACGAGTTGACGTGGCTGACGTCGAAAATGTTATCGACGACGAGGGCATGTGCGCACACATACGTTTAAATTGCATGACTCTGTGAATAATTTTTGTTGCGTATTATTTATGCCGCAAAACTCGATGCGATTAAAATCACTTGGATAAAGATATTTTCGTTTACGAATAAATTTACGCAATATATGGCATACATTTAAATTGAATGTCGTTGTTGTGGTATTTAATTAAAAATTTGTAGAATATGTAAGTAAGATATCACAGGAATTATACTTAGGATTCCTTTAAAAAACTTTACGAAGAAAAAAATTAGTACGTATTATTGTGTTCTTCTATTAGCACTCACAAATTAATAAAATTATAATATTTACAATAAAATTAATAATATATGCAATGATTTGCAAAACTCTTTGCATAAATGCACTTATACTAAATCACGTTATAAGTTCCAGCTTGACAGCTTTATAACTCTATTGTTCTTATCGCAAAATCTTGCAGGTCATAATCGGTGCTATGTCAGTAAAGACATTCCAGACGGTATATACAGTCGCATATGTATTTGTACTTACAACTTTCGCATGACAGAAATATAATCAAATGAGATTAAGTCGATATACTTAAGCAAGATTTCTACTGTCGCAACTCATAATAAATAGAGAATATAAATTAGTGCTTTATTAATTTAGAAGAAATTATTTAAAGCAATAAAATCTTGATAATAAAAAACTTTATTCCAAACATCTTAAAGAATATATTAATTTTTATTATTATTTTAAAAAATGTCAATATTTAATCGATCAAATTGTTCAAATCGATATTTAAAATTTATATTAGTATGATTCATCACTCAAATTATTTTAAACGTAAAAAACAAAATAGATTTTAAGTTATAACTTTTACAATTTTCTCTTAAAATTTCTTGAAAATATTACATTATCATCTTAATTATTAATTATAAAATAATTGTTATATTCATATATTTTAATTGAACATACGTTCATATTACAAACTTAGTAATCTATTTTTTTCAGAACATTTTATTTAGTTTATATTATTATATAATTTCGTACAGATGTTATCAGAATTTCAAGTTGAAAGAATTAGATCTTCTTTAAAATTTCTGTACAGCTATATTACGAAATATGAGACAGCGAAATATTACAATTAGCATGACGAATCAAGAACGATGATATGATTTGGGTCGCGATTTTTAAGGACTTTTTAACCGTCAACAGTTTAGTTATCAATAATCTACCTTTGATGTAAGTGTCATGCATGTTTATAAATACACTTTTAATCCTCAGATAATCAATCGCATTTTGCGCATAATAGTTATTATACCGTTGCCGGAAATAGGTTTACGATATCTTTCCCGAGAGACGGGCCTGACTAATCGCGATATACGAGTGAAATTAATTGATATTAATTGATCATAACAGGTGGTAACGTTATGACGGTTAGCGATCTTGAATCTAATTTGCCACTTACATAATTCTCAAATACTATTAGAAATAATTTCTATTTAATGCTTTTTTAAATCAAGTGGATCGTCACTGGTTAATGGAGTTTTAAGTCTAAAAATATTATCATTTTATTTCTGATTTATTTTACTCTTTATGTTCCTTTTCAATATTAATATTCATGAATCTTCCCGTCTGCAGTATGAGATTAATTATTATGATTATTGCAGATTATTTTTCTAAGTATTCAGATGGATATAGTATTAAGTTTCGTTATAAATTTAAAACATTAAAAGATGGAAAAGAAGCAATAATAATATCAAAAAGACAGAGGCAAAAAGGATCTTAGCTCAATCTTATAGCAGATTGTTCAAACGCTCGGATCGTTTTGTCGCGAAACCTACAGTAGATCCGGTATCGAAGGAGAAAGGATTGATCCAGGATGCGTTGAAGATGGAGAAGCGCAAAGATTCTGGTACAAAGTAAAGACGACAAAGAAATTGCATTGCCATGCTAAATCTCGGTCGTCGATACAACGGCGTAATCAATCTTCAATTGGTACGATTGATTCTTTCCTTTCTACGTCGTTGATGTCTTGATCCCGGATAACCACGTCGGTTTTTACGAAACTACACGCATAAATATCATCGCGATAAAAAATATAAATGCGGTCTAAATATAATATAAATGTTATAAAATTCTGCAATTTCTATTCAACAAAACTATATTTTGATAACAAGTGTTAATTTTTATAAATCATATATAGTTTATTGTGCAAAATATAGCATTGATCTTAAATTAAAATTGGTATAATTAAATTTTACTCATATTAAAAAACAAATTGCTTCACTATGTTTTTCCCATTATGTATAACTTTCCCCACATATAATTATATTCATTATGTTACTATCTAATTTTGATATATATAATGTATAAATATATATAACATTCATTTTTTTTTAAAGAAAAAGTATAATAATTAATATGTATTAATATATTAATAGATTTTTGTATATTTAATATTTTATATATATAAAAAAAAGTATCATGCAACTCACCGTGATGTCTTCGGACCTTCGTAATTATTCAGAGAACGATTAAATTCTAAATGCTTAAAAAGATCGTCCAATTCGGAGAGTTGTCGATTTCTCTCTATCATCGATTCTTTTAAACTCTGAAACATAAAATTACAGTAAACTTGTAAAAAGATATTACTAAATATTATACAGTGTATTAATTTTTACATAAATTTAAAGATTCATTTAAATTCTATATCTGTATATACTTTTTTCTTTTTTCTAGTAACTTGTTCATCCAATACGCTTCTATGGGGAAATATTTTTCATTTTTCAATAAGAATAATAGAGAATATTTAAAGTACCTTTAATGTTTTTTATATTAAACAAATTAGGAATATTTTATCATAATTTACGCAACATCATAATTTACATGTTTGCTAATATTGTATATATTAGAAACATAATATTTGTTTATAAAAATTGTTAAAAAGATTTAACATACTATCTTTCAAATTATTACAAGATATTGACTACAATCGAAAAAATATTCAAATAATTTTTATTTCTCGGAATTTGGGAATGACCGCGTGGAATCACAAAAGATTGACAAAAAAGGATACCACGCAATTCCGTTTAGAAAGAGAATTGCGTCGTTCAACCTTAATCGCACCAATCTTGTTCTCTACCGTACATAGTATGGAATAAAACTAAAAGAATAGAGAAAGAAAGACCAGAGAGAACGAGAGATGGGACGAGAGAAGGAGGGTCGAGCAGCGCGGGTAAGCGAAAAAAAAAAAAATCAGGACCACCATTCCTCCTCGAAAATAAAATCGGTTTTCCGATAACTGGTTATTTACTCGCACAAGTGGCTCGCTGACTGGGCGAGCACGTCGGAAGCGGTTTTCGCGTGTAATATTATCGAGTAATCGGTAGGATAGGAGAGCATTGATCGTCGAGGATAGAAGCCGGGGGAAATGGACGAACGCGAAGAAAAAGACCGAAAGAGGGTGTCCGGGCGGAGGGGAGGGGGGGGGAGGGGGGGTGGATCGGTGAATAGTGTAGCACGAGGAGAGAGATGCTGGGAGACGAACGTGCATTGCACGAGCACAATATATCCGCGTGATTACAATATGTCGGGGCTCGAGAGACCAATATCAACCTGAAGTCGGCTCAGCCAATGCTGATAATCCCCATTGTTGATGCCTCCACTCGACTGCCTCTCGCGAACAGATACATCTTGTTTCAAATTTTCGAATGGTTCATCCGGCATGGCGAATACGCCCACAGAAGATGCTCGTGTGGTAGAAAATTCCTTCTGGAATATCTCCGCGATTTCGACATGAATTTGAACATTACAGAAACTTGAGGAAAGCTTTCTCGGTTTTAGACGTCCCGAGGAATACGAGAAAATTTTAATGAGGAAATCTATCTTTTCCGCTTTTGACCTCAGAGGATCTTCGTGAGATTTCTAGAGATACCTCCGAATAAAATTTTTGCCTTGACTAACGATAAAAGGCATACCGATTTAATTCAATTCAGTGTTATTAATTGCCAATTTCAATTTTAGAAAGCTTTTTTTTCTCTATATTAAGAACCAAAAAATGTTTTTCTACATATTTATAATGTCAAAAAGTACAACGATACGATACAAATTACTCTATTAAAAATAAAAAAACAATCGCATATTTATAAATTATTCAGTTTTTCTATCATATAGCTATACCATTTTATTTTTCAATATATATATATATATTCTCTGATTAATCATCGTATCGGCGGTTTTAGCTTCAAGATAAATGGAAAATTCCACTCATTGCTCGTTCAGTGATCCATTATGGACCAACGATTTCTGTGCTTGTGTACGCGTCGCGTTAAAAGAGAGGTCGGAATGGCGGATATGTACACGGCGAAAGAAACGAAACCTGTCCTCGTCGTTTATGCTCGGCGTCGGCAGACTAGGCCGCCTTTCACACATCCCACACGAAAGACGATGACGACGGCTGCGGCGGTGGCGGTGGTGGCGGCGGCGATGATGGTGGTGGTGGTGGTGGTGATGGTGGCGGTGGCGGCAGACGAACCTCAGTCTCTTTCAAAACAATTACGCATTCTTCTATGCCCGTTCTCCCACGTCATCTCCTATCGTCTTGTCGCAATATTGCCGCATAGTGGTGCGTTTTGCCTATGACCGCTTTCTATTGATAAATAACAGCGGATCACGGCGATTTACTTGGAGAATTAACATAAAGAAAGTGTTGCTATATGTTCCCATTTGTCGCGAGCTGATTTATCGTCCTCGAGCCGACGGTTGCCATATTTGTAAGACTCATTCGGAGTACCGGCGCGACAGTTTCTTTATAGGAAACCGTTTCTTTATAGGAAATTCGTCTACTTCAGTTGTTACATATAATATATAACGTATCGAATTTTTTATAAATGTATTATGTTGTAGTTTATACATAGACTGTTAGTGACTGTTGACATTAATTATACTTTTTTATAATTTCAGACAGGAAGAATTCACCTCATCCATCTTATATGACGAATCGTAAGTTTTATGTACAATGCATGCTCTTACAGAATTGCAATTAAGTAGGCAATATTATAATTATATAATATGTGTAATATACACACATAATATTATATAATAACAATAATTATACATTAGTTATGTTATAATTACAAAAAAATTAATAAAGCAATCGCTAATATCGCACTCAACGTAAACTAATAAATATAAATTATTAAGATTATATTTATATATATATACATCATATAATCTTTTATAAGAAAATTATTTTATTTAAAAAAACTAAATAGTAGATTAGCGGAAGACACTAATGGCAAGTGGCTTATGTATCAAGATTATATTCTGTCAATTTTCCATTGCGCCAGTCTCCTAGCAATTCCATCATATATCCTATTCCTAGAAGCAACCATCACGATTTACAATCCCTCTACTCTCATCTTTGTACACAGAAGAGTGATAAATTTCTGATCTCGGTCTTTTATAGAAAATATTTCACATTTCGATAAAAGGAATGAACGATATAGCTTGAACACTTTTAACATATTTCTTAGATTAGAGACATTAAAAAAAGTTCGATATAATTTGCGACATATTTGATATGATAAGGAAATAAACGGTGGGAAATGACTTAAAAAAATATTCGATTTATAAGGAAGAATTGCAAACGTATAATTTTCTAGATTTTTAATAATTACATTTGTCAATATAAAACACAATATTAAAGTAATAATTATAACAGATTTTTATTATAATTTATAACAGATTTTTATTATAATTTATAACAGATTATAATTGATTTTGTGCAACGATATCGTTGGCTTTGCATGCGCTGCTTAATCCAAAACTATTTAAAAAATTATTTATAAATATATTTTGATAAACAATTCACTTAATCTCGATTTTGTACACACACACACACACCACACACACACACACACACACACACACACACACACACACACACACACTAGTTTCTCTATCTAGTCAGAATAAGATGTATGCATTTAAGATAATTATGTAAATGCAATATGAAAAAAATTCCACATCGGCCGGTTTTTATATCAGGTAGAAGGTTTATTAGCAAGTTACATTGAGTAATTAATGTTGATATTAATTCTAATCGATAATCCAAACATGCAGTATTGGTTATCCTTCACTGTGCATAATATTTATCAATAGATATACTTAATGAGAAGATCTCCCGAAAAAGATTGCTTGCTCCAAGAATCGCTTAACTAATCAGGTAACCGCTTAATTAACCGGTAACAGCAGCTAGTGTTAATGAGTGACATTAATGCAAATAGTCATTAAACGTGCGCGTGTGCAGTTGAGCTACAGCTAATCCTCATTATTTATATCACAGCAAAGCTGCCTTACGCAGTTCGTGATATCACTCGATAAATTATATACTTTACGCACCTCTTCATGGTAATTACGCACTTCTTCATCGATTCAAAAAGAAACTTTGCCGATAGGCATAAAAAGGATTATATCAGAGGACTGCGGGGGGGGAGGACTTTCGGCGAAATTATTTTTATTCTGAGCTCATTTTAGTGAATATTCTTGAGTATTCGCGTCATAGTAAGGGGTTTATCTTATCTGAAAACATGCTTGCTGTTTGGAAAGTATGAGAATATTTATTGAAGCTTGTATGTTATCGGGATCATTTCCAAAGTTTAATATATAAGAATATGTAACAGTTTCGTTTTATCGACAATTACAAAGAGAACCATAAGAATAATTTTTAATTAAAAGATCACGCGCATCTAATTTTACTACGATCATATAAAGTTAATTATTATTAAAAATAATATTGTTATTATCTCTTTTCCTTAAAGTATATGAAACGAAGAAAAAATATATATTATATTAATTTCAAGATATTGATATATATTTATCTCTTTATTATATTAATCTATAAGATTATTTACTACAGCTTTCTCGATAAGTGAAATAAAATATATTAAAATTTTCAGAAGGGAGTTTGTGAGATTACTTTATTAATCGTACAACAACATTCTCACGCTCTATCGTATCATCATTCGTAAATTTTTAATGTCCCACCGATTTTATCCGCACTATTCGAGTATCGTTTAAATTTTACAGCAAAGTAATACTCGCCTGCCTGAGTTGCAGTGGAAACTGCCTGAGATTTCTTGAATACTACGTATTCGTATTTCTGTCGGCCGTGTGCAGCTCGTCTGCAGTATGCACGTAGGCGCCAAAGTGGATGCGCGCATAAATTCGCTCGCGGTACGTTAAAAGATGTGAAGTGATTTCGAGCGTGCGGCGCATAACAGGGCGAGAAAAAGGTACGCGCCTTCGAGTTACGTTCGAGTAAGCGCGCGTGAGGCGGCCTCCGTATATATATATATATATATATATATATTGTAAAATATACTTACGCAAATATTGAAACTCCACGCCTCGTTTTCCACTCACGACGTCGCACCGGTTACGCACCGGCGGGACGTTAACAACGAGTTGTTATCGATAATAATAAGCGAGCCCGATAAACTACACGTTTGCTATAACTCGAATGTTGACTATTGTCCGGCTGGACGTTTTATCTTCGTGTTCCACGCACGTCATGTACATAGATACACGTTGGACAAATTACGGCCTGCCGGACGTATCCGCGATGCGAAAGTGACACGAAGAAATTGATGGGATTACACGTTTACTTTCACTAAGCAGATGGCTGTTTTCAAAAGTATACCCGCGTCCGTAGTAATTGCCGAGTTGACGGTCCGCTGCGCAACGAAAACAGCGGTTCGGCTAAATCTTGGGCTGTGCCCATTGTTGAGTTAGCAATAATTATAGTTTACGGAAACGTAACAACCCCGTGGTTACAGGGGACGTAAAGTAATTACCGCGATTCGCTGTTATGATTTTCGTGGAGAATACCTCGAATATCATCCTTCGAGTGACAGTCATATCCGACTTCCGTTCGTACTTGGTGTTAATGTACCAAGTAAAATTTATAAATTTTTGCACTATTTTCAATTATATTTAGTACAAAGTTGCCTTCCATCCTTCCACTTTAATCCTGAAGAAATTGAAATTAATAGCACACAATTGGAATTGAATACAATATTTTTAACAAATGAGATATATTTTCGACTGTTTTGCAAAATATAAAATTAAATAAGATGCATATAAGCTCTTAAAATATCGCGTTGTTATTAACTCTAATTGGTTTATTCTGATGATTTGCCACACATATAGAAAATAATATTATAATTTAATATATTATATAATATATAATTTTGTATTATATATATTCGTTTAAAAGTCTAGACTTCTATTAGAATCTTTCTTATTTCAGAATAATTACTCAATAATTGAGTATTGCATATTGCAATATAAAATTCTAAATTTTCCGAGCCGAAATCTATCTCCGATAGTAATGTACCAGGGTGGCTTTAAAGACTGAGTGAGATTGATGGGTCATTTTCAATAATTATTGTCGATCGCAGTGTGACGTGGGGATTCCCAATCATGAATATCATCCATCGACCGTATTGGCCATTAGCATAATCACATTATCTGAGTGCATTCCAGACGCGTGTAGGTCGATCACGAGTGAGATATATAGGCGGGTTGGAATTTCGTCTTATGGCATCGAGCGAGGGGGATGCAGAAGTGAAACACAGGAAGAACGTGATTATTTCTAATCCGTTTTCCCACTCTCGCCGTCCCGCAAGAAAACTTCTTGTATTATAAATTATACGCGAACAGCCATGTAAAGGATTAACATGCTAATGTAGCGTTCATTAATTATCACATGTTGCATCCGTATCATTAAGCCGTCTGAGTGCCGTCTTACGCGCAATTGCCTTGAAAATGCAGATGGACTTTTTTTCTTTAAATCCTTTAGTGCATGAGGCATTATGCGGAGTCTTTT